TATCAGCTGGTCAATATATCGCTCTGTCATTAGTAGAAGCTATAGAGCTTTTATAACTAAGTGACTAGTTTTTATTTTAGACAAATTTTTTATTTTACCAGGGCTCTTAGTTAACCTGGAAAAAAACATTAATGATGCTGGATTAAAGAACAAAAAAAGGGAAATTGTTCAAATGTAGAAATGTCCCAATCTAAAAGATTTTCGTCTGATATCAGCCAAAAAAACTAATATCGGAATATATCATCCTGCATCTAAAATCTTTGATGTAAGCAAGCAATTCAACTGAATTCAGTTTATTTCTATAGCACCAAGTCACAACACATGGCATCTCAAGGCACTTTACAGACACAAATTAATCAGATCAATCAGTCTGGTTAAAAGTTTCTGTTGTAGGATTGAATGAAGTTCACTTGCATTTTGTTGTTGCCAGGAGTCCCTTACACAGAAAACACAGAAAGTAGAGAGAAAGAAACTCCCATTTAACAGGAAGAAACCTACAGCAGAACCAGTGTGAGTGACCTTCTGCTGAGGCCAACTGGAGTTCAAGGAGCGATAAACAGACATACAAAAACATAGAAGCACAAATTCATAAACACTTTCCATGTTAGAAAAGTTAACTGTAAAATAGCTCCAAGGTTGGCTCTGTCTCTTTCATGTCAAAGGGAGGAAAGAGAACAGATATAGTTAGTTCTTAGTCACAATAAAAGCTGGACCGGTTGTTATTTCTAGGAAAGAAACAGGACTGGGCACTGAAAAACACACCCAACTCTATCCTCTTGTATTGATTGTGTTGATGGCAGCAGCACAGCTGATATTTCTCTTCAGGATGGTGTCACAGCCAAAAGGGAACAGACCAGATGAAGCTACTATGATGAGAAAAAGCACAGTGAGCATAACATTGAGGTTGAACTAACAAATTCTGCAGAGTGCGAGAATGATGAAAGTAGTCCCTATGTCCTCCATCAGTCTAAGCCTATAGCAGCATAACTATAGAGATAGCTCAGGATAACCTGAGCATCTCTAACTATAAGCTTTATCTTTTTCATTAATCCTTTATTTCTTTGTAGTCAAATAATATATGTTTCCTTATATTTTCAAAATGTTTTCATCTATTTCTTTATTTTAATGAACTTCTGAATTTTCTTGGCATCGATGTCTGTATTTGTTTTTAGTCTGTGAGGTGACTCTGGTCTGTGAGGTGAAACTGGTATAATCATGAAACTTTTTATGTTGTTCATCCACAGTTAAAATAACTGCAAAATTATGAGATCTCTGTCTCTAAACAAAGAGTTAGCCAGTATTTGGCTAAAATATATTTCTATTCATTATTATACCTCCAAAAAAAGCTTTTCCATGTACTATTATAGAGGGAGTGAATGAGTGATGGCAGGGCATTAATGTTAATTTTTTTTTTTTTATTATTATTACGAAAAAGAGGAACATTTTGGAAATAGGAAAATTAATTAAAAGGTGGATGTGCATTTTTAAGGGAGGGAGGAATAAATATGACTCAAATTTCATCCTTTATAATGTATAAATACTTTCATATCATACTGTCCTGTATGTCGACCCACTAATTTACACAATACCACTGAGCAAAACACAGGGACGTCAACACACAGCGCCAGTCGCGTCTGATCTAAAGGCGAAACAACTCTGTTTACATTCGATAAACATGGAGCAGCACTGGTGAAAGGGATTAGAACAAACAAAAGAACACTTACTACTGGTGACATGATAAGCACTAACCTAGCGTGATGATGTGTAATGGGCAGAGGCCATGACGCTTTCCAGCGGGGGGTTAGACCCAGTTTTTTTTGCCGTAGGGAAGGGAGCCAAATTCCAATTGTAAGCGGGTCGACCCCCATTTGAAAACCCTCGTTAGTGGATTATTTTCAGTGGGAAAGAGAATTTAGAGTGCTCTAGATTGCCACTTTTAAATTAAATGGTAGAACATTTTCTTCCCTGACATCCCTCGATGGGTTTAATTCTTTATTTATGTCTAAAGAGTTACTGAATTGTTGTGACTGTGAAGCATGGCATTTTGAGTTTAGTGATGGAGGCTAAATGGTGGTAAATGGAGGCTAAAGATATTGGGTGACTACAGTTTTAAAGATAACAGGAGTATCTTTAAACAAAAGTCAAACATACCATAAACTCCATGTGACACAAGGATTCCCTGTGTGTGTTTAACCTAGAATGATCCTAATGTAGGAAAACTTAAATGGATATTTGGTCAGGATTGTGCATTTTTATTGTGCTTGTGCCATAAAGCTAGCTTCTTTTCTCCAGACTGAAGGCTGAGGAGGAGCAGAAAAGGCAGCAGGAGGAGAGGGAACGTCAGGAGAGAGAAGCGCTCCAGGCAGAGGAGGAGAGAGTGAGGAAGGAGGAGGAGAGAAGGACCAGAGAAGAAGAGGAGAGACGACAGAAGGAGCAGAGATGGAAGAACATGCAGGACCAGCTGGACAGAGAGGTCAGCCCCATTTGATCTGCATCCCTGATATGCCTGTCCAGCAGGACTGAGGAACCGTCAGGATTCCAAGCTCCAAGACCTAACCACTAACGACCCCCGGTTAGGGCGTAGAGCTTGGAATCCTGAGGTTGTGAGTGTGAAACCCACTCCCACAGACTGCCACTTTGGGTCTCTGAGCAAGACCCTTGACCCCTAATTGCCCCCCTGGTGCCCCACAATGGCACCCCACTGCTCCCCAAGGGGATGGGTTAAATGTAGAGCTAAATTTCTCCAATCTGAGTTTAATAAACTTCAATTATTATTATTATTATTATTACTGACCCCATATTTAAAGTGTAACTCACCCCATAATAATTGTTTTTATTTAGAATGTATAATCTGGGTCTATGGGATGTTTTTTTTTATGTTACTTGGCATTTTTTTTGACACAAAGTGTTCAGACTTTAAGCTTTACCTCAGAGCTACAGTGCGCTACCTGCCGCCATGAACCATTAACACATTAACTTAATTGCAAAATAAAAAACCTGCTTTTTATTTAGACGGAAATAGTGATAATCTGGCTGTACATCTATGTTTTATCCTCCTTTATTTAATCAAGAGTTGATCTATTTAGATCAGGGGTCTTCAATGTTTTCCAGGCCAAGGACCCCCAAACTGATGGCGAGATGGAGCGGGGACCCCCTAATTGTATATATTGTATGAAATTGTGTTCTATCAAACTGGTCCTATAGTCACTCTATTATATATGGAGTAATGTAATGAAAGTAATTTCTCCCTGGGATTATTAAAGTATTTCTGATTCCTGGTTGATGGGACAGGTGTTGTGAATGAAACGGTGCCCAGCTTGAAAGAGCTCCTGTGTGTCGCTGAATGTGAGCATTGATGACTGAAAGACATCTTCTGCCTCCATTTATCTGTTTACTACAGTGTGTTCAATTCATGTTAATTTGGATTTAAAGACATTTCAATTAGTGGAAAAAAATGAAAGGGGGGAATATTAAAAAAAGTCTAATTAACCAAAAGTTTCACAACCCCCATGCAGTACCCCCGTGGACTCCCTGTTGAAGACCTCTGATTTAGACTAAATGTCTGCATGGTCAAAATCAGATTCACTGTTTATGTGCTCACATTCAAGCTGATTCTGATAATTAGTTCTAAATTATTAAAGAATCAGACTCAGAATCAGACATACTTTAACCATCCCAGAGGGAAATTAAAGCGCTCTAAATATGGGAGGAACTTAAAACTAAATGTCTGGGTGTTTTTCAGAGGGAGGAGGCCTTCCTGCGAGCTCAAAGGGAGGCTGAGAGGAAGAGACAGGAGAGGGAGCTGCTGCACATCCAGGAGGAGCAGGAGAGGCAGCAGAGAAAGAAGGTACCAAACATCACCTCCAACCTCTGCTCTGTTTCCGCCTATCACCTCAGCCCAGATATTTACATACATACAAGAGGTTACTTAAGTCTTGATGATTTCTACAAACTGGTTTACCACAATAGATTAAAACCCTGAAATGATGGCTTTTAGTTTCAGTGTGCCAATCCAAGATTTTTAGGGGCCCCATCTGGCCACCCATATGAGGCATTTCTGTAGGCGCTGCTGGTCACAGATCACCTTCAGTCAGAAGAAACATGGCACCACTGTAGTCCTTAAGAAGAAACATTTTTGTTTTTTTTTCTTTCTCTTGTTCTAATCCGTTCTGTTCTGTTGGACCTGTTTTTCAGAGAATTGAGGAGATTATGAAGAGAACAAGGAAGAGCGAAGTGGAGCATCCATCTGCTGCCTCGGGTAAATGTTCAGTCAGCTGTGGGTCAGTTCGGCCTATCAGCAGTTCATTGCTCTGTTTTCTACCCTCACAGTAGGGTTGGGAATGGATAAGATTTTCACGATTCCGATTCCCTTATTGATTCTCTTATCAATTCTTGTCACAGTCATCCACACTCAC